TGTGCCTTTTTATTGTTTGTTAACTCGCTTACCTCTTTAAAACACTTAGCGAGTGACTCATCCTTTTCCTGAGCATGGCTCAAACACTCACGTGAGACGGGCAAAGGAAGAACCTCAGACAGAGTAGTCAGACCCTGTTCATCGAGTGCTGGTTTAGCAGGGCTGGCAGCCAGCTCTCTGTCCCCAGTTAGAACAGATCCAAGAACAGTCTCACTCAGGTTCACTTCCTCCAGCTTACGAGCTTGCGACCTGGTAAGAACACTGACAGAAAACACATCAGGGTGGGATTTCAACAGCTCATCCTCTTCTGGGATACAGCTGGGTTTATCAACCACTTCAAGAACAGGGAGTACCTTGTCCCCAGCAATATCATTTCCCATTATAAACTCAACACCCTGAATAGGAAATGAGCTTCTCACTGCAACCTTGAAAAATCCAGAGGCTAACTTCGACTGCACATGAACACAATGTAATGGTGCAGGTATGTAGGCCATCCCAATACCTTGCACTATTGTACTCGCGTTACAAGATGACTCATCACTGACTGGCAAAACATCGGCCAATAGAAATGATTGTGAGCCACCCGTGTCCCTCAGTATTCTCACGGGCTTCTGATCCCCAGGAAACCCTGTTAAGGAGACAAAACCATCGAAAATGAAGGGTTTAAAACACTTATCAGGTTCACTCATGGTCACATGAGAGGGGGAGCTCAGCGACTTGACTAGGCCAACCCCTTTAGCTTGTTTTAATTGCTGGGGCACTTGTTTACGTTTAAGAGCCAAACACTCAGAAACTATATGCCCCACTTTGTGACAGTAAAAACATTGTCTATCAGACTTGGAACTCGAAGAACCCCTAGGTTGTTGAGGGTGTGGCTTTGTGTCCTTTTTCATTTGTTCATGATAGAGTGATTCAGATTTACCCACAAACACGCTTTTGAGTGTCAAAGCAAATTCTTCTGCCAGGACAGCTGCCTCCTGCAAAGTGGCGACTTTTTGTTCATTCAGGTACAGCACTGTATGGTCAGGAACACAGTTTTTGAATTCCTCCAACAATACCAGTTCATGCAGTGCGTTAAACCCTGAAACTTTGCTTGCTTGACACCACCTATCAAATAGTATCCCTTTTTCCCTTGCAAACTCAAGGAATGTTTGAGCAGTGGATTTCCTCAGGGTCCTGAAACGCTGCCTGTAAGCTTCAGGCACCAACTCATAGGCTTTGAGTATAGCGCTTTTGATATTGTCATACACAAGACTGTCCTCGATAGTGAGAGCTGCGCATACTTCCTGTGCTTGACCAATTAATTTGCACTGAAGCAAAAGGGACCAAACCTCCTTGGGCCAATGTAAAGCCATAGCAATGCACTCAAACGCATTAAAATAGGCCTATACCTCAGTCTCCCTGAATGGTGGAACTAGGGCAATGTTTTTGCCTACATCAAATGTCGGAGGTGCAGGAGCAGGGGGAGAATTATCTGAAGGATTACTATCGTTATCTTCATCCTTCACTGAAGGTGGAGCA